AGCCGTCCCAAGTCAAAAACAATCCAAATACATTCTTTCTTTAAGAATGCGCTAACCGGGCTAAAGCGTACTTGTCTCCTGAAAGATGGGGTCGCAAGCTCTGCGCACCGGATTTGACCTAGAAGAGGAGGAGCGCTTCTTCATCAGCGGCGTAGAGAAGGCTGGGCGCTCGCGAAATACATACGAGCACCAGCTGAGGAAACGAAAGGTTTTGGTCGGCGTGCTAATCGCGATTGGCTCCCTCGGCCTAGTGGCGCTCATTATCGGCCTCGCATGGGGCTTAAGCCGCCGGAAGCTAGACTATGTTTGTCCACGCAGCTACGACCCCAGCAAGACAGACCTGGTCTTCTACGTCATCGGCGATTGGGGCAGGTCTGGGAACGACAACCAGCAAAAAGCTGCTCGGCTCATGTCCGACGTCTCCCAGTGCATGCCGCCCAAATTCATCATCAGCACCGGGGACAACTTTTACCCCCGTAAGGCGGTCAGGGCTGGGGGTTCATTGGAGGCAGCGACTGAATGGCACGACTGAATGGACTCAGCGGTGTGTTGTTGTTGTTTGATTTAAATGGTCTTCGGAGCCGCGATAACGGAATTGCCGTTGGCGGTACATGTGTGTGTGTGTGTTGAGGGGGAGATGTGTGTTGGTGTGTGTATTTGTTCATGTGGATGTGGGTGTGGGGATGCGTGTGTAGGGCCACACCCGGGTTCGTTCAGGAGAGCAGTCCCCACCCACCCCCTAGCGGCACAGGCCTTCACGTAGTAACATGCTTTGGATGGTTGCTCGTACTTGCGGCTGAGTTCATTGACACAGACACACACAGACGCACATAACCCGACCCCTCTCCCCCATCCCATCCCTTCCCTTCCTAACCCCCCCCCCCCACCCCCCACCCGACCCCCCCCCACCTAGATGGGCTCAGCTCCTCCACCGACTCGCAGTTCCGCTCCTCCTTCTCCTCCGTGTACACCGCCCCGGGGCTGCAGGTGCCCTGGTATGCGGTGATGGGAAACCACGGTGAGGGAGGGAGGGGCGAGGGAAGGAGGGGAAGAGGGGAAGAGGGGGAGGGGGGCGAGGGGAGGGGCGAGGGGGGAAGCCCCTTTATCCGTCCATCCATCCAGCCGCCCCCTCTCTGCCCTCCTCCTCCTCCTCCTCCTCCCTAATTTTTAGGGGGGCTGTGGCATCTCCTCTCTCGTCCCAACCCCCCTCACCCCCCAACCCCCCAACCACTGGTTTCCCCGTACCCCCCCGGTTCGGGGCTTAATGGGGGCAGCTGGTGCTGCGGGGGGTGGAATGGACTCGTGACAGACTGACAGACTGACAGGCTGGCTGACTGACTGACGTGTCGCATCACGAACCCCCGGCCCCTCTGGAAACCGCCGTCACGAATGTTATATTGTAATCCTCCCCCCCTTGTGTATGTATGTATGTATATCCTACCAGATTACGGTGATTCCGTTGACAAGGCCCAGGTGGCATCGGGCTACTACCTCACCAACGTCACCTCACCCGACCAGTGTACGGGAAAGAACTGCATAAGCCCCTATTGGCAAATCGTACCGGAGCTAGCAGCCAGCGACCGGCGGTGGAATGCCTCTTTAGGCAACGTGGTTACGAGGAGCTTCACCCTCCCTGGAGGGCAGCTGGCGGCGGCGGGGGGGCCGGGGGGAGGGGGAGGGGGGCAGAATACCCTGGATATAATGTTCGTGGTGAGTGTGTGAGAGAGTGTGTATGGGTGGTTAATGGACCGTTGCAACAAACTTTTTCGATTAGTTGCAACTGCTGTCGTTTTTTGGATGCGTGGGACGGTGGACAGCAGAATACGGCACGCAACTGACAGGGTTTTGCCGTACCGGTTTTAGTTTTAGCTCTGGAGCGGTGCGTTGGTTGCGAAGCTTGCTTCTAACCACCTAACCACCTAACCAACCAACCAGGCGGTACTCGAACGCACTCACCTCACCCCACCATCCGTTGCATGTGTATGGAAACACAGGACACCGTACCACTTATTTCTCAGTACGACAATCACATCTGGGCCTCCTTTTTGTACGGCTTCAAGAGTCAGAACGCGTCCGGCATCAAAAGCCAGCTGGAGCAGCAGTTGGCGGCATCTGTTGCTCGGGGCGCCAAGTGGCGGTTGGTCGTTGGCCACCATCCCGTACGGTCGTACGGAAGCCATTGCTCTGACGTGAGTGGGGGTTATGTCGGTACGTTTGTCGGTATGTTTGTGGGTTGGCAGTGCATGCATGGATTGGGGGCCCGGACTGCTGCGAAGGTGGAGGTGAAAGGCGGGGAGGTGTGTGTGTTAGGGGCGGCCCCACCCCCCCGGCATTCTTTGCTCTCTCCCTTTTTTCCCACCAACAATTCCCACGCAACCCCCCCACCCGCCAGCCCGAGTCGTACGACTGTCGTGACATGGACCGGGCTATTGGCTACGCCCTCCAGCAGTACGGCGTGGCGGCCTACATCAACGGTCATGAACACGACCAACAACTGATCAAGGTGGGTATGTATGTATGTATGTATGTATGTATGTTTTATAATTGAATAACCTTTGACCACTGAACCCCCCCTGGGTGGGTGGATGGGCGGGGGGCGGGGGTGGGGGCGTGCGGGGGATGGGTGGGGTGAATCATACGATGCCTGGGGAGAGCAAAGGATCAGCTGCCGGTGTCCGACTACGCGACGTATACATGTTGGGAAAAGCTCAGTGACGTGTGACTCGGAACCAAACCCACCCACACCCCGCCCCCGTGATCTAAAGACCTCACCCCTCTCCCTCTTCCCCCCCTCCCCTCTCCTCCCTCACCCCGCCCTCTCCCCCCCCTCTCCCCTCTCCCCCCAGTCCAATGAGGACCCCGTGTACTACGTAACCACGGGC